GGAGTCCAAGGGGAAAGAGCCGGGCACCGCACCACCTGGTCAGAGTAGACACCTGTGCAGGCTGGTGAGGACGGAGGGTGACCAAGCAGGAGCACCCTACAAGGATAACGACCTAGTTGACGCCATGATCGGCAATGTTCGGCGTGTGGCAGAGACTGACGTACGGGAAGTCTACGTGGATGGAGAGAGAGTAACGAAGGACAAGACAAAGCGGGTCTTCGACTGCAGTTTCCAGGCGGGAGTTGCAGTGAACAGAAAACCATAGCTGTACAGGGACGTTTAAACTTTTAAGTTTGATGTTAACACCTTGAAGGACTTTTTTAGTGTTGCCGAGTTCGACCTTCTAGGTATTTTAGCGTTAGGCGTCAATGTTTCTGATAAAAGATCTCAGGTTTAAAGTCAAACCTGTAAAGGCTCTTATAAGGATAAGGTTTTATTGTTGTTTAACTTAAGTTTTATGAAGGAGTTTTTGTAAAAGACCTTAGGTTTAAAGTTAAACCTGTATAGGCTCTTGAGGATAGGGTCTTAATGTTATTTAACTAAAGTTTTATGAAAGAGATTTGTAGCCTTTTATTTTTGTATAAGAAAGCCTTACGTAGTTTTCTGAAGTTTAAAGACTTTTTGAAATTAGGTCAGTATTGTTCTTGTTTAAACAAACACCTAAGAGACTTTAGGACACCTTACTTAAGGCGCAATATTTCTTTTAAAGTTTTGCTAAGCTGAATGGTCAAGGGGACTGACCAGCCTTGAGGTGCGGCTGTGTAACGAAATATTGCTTCGCGCACTGGGCTTCCGTAGCTGCTGAGCGCTGGTGCGCAGGCTGCGTTCCGTGCGGCAGTGCGCGTCGCTGGTGCTCTGCGTGTAGTGTATATAAGCGCGCTGCACGTGCGTCGCGGGCGTCTTTCCGCTGCTTGCTCTTGCTCCGTGCGGACGAAAGCAAGTACGCTCTGCCGTTGCTCGCTGGCTGTTGGATTGGTGGGATTAGGCTGTACCCCGTGAACCCTAGTTGCGGGGTGAGTAGCTGCGTCTTAGGCTTATCGGTCCCGATGTCTATTGTAGTTACCCGAGTGGTGATTGTTTGTGATTCTTAATTATAAAGTCCCCAAGAGATAATCGTCATTGGTGTACGAATCAACCCTGTAATTAGCGCCTATATAGGAACCTGTGTATTACTTTGAATAAATCAACCAGTTCAAGTATATAAGCCTGGTGTGGTGCATAATCGTTGACGTGTCTACCCTTGTGTGGTGAGCGTGTGTGCGTGGTGTGCAGACCTAGGCGCCTGGAGGTAGACTTCCCCCAAACGAGTCCGCCCCTCAGGCCTCTGCGGTTACCGCTCGTCGTGGAGGCCGAAGCCCATTATTTAGTCAGCGGCAGACGCCGCCTGGTAAAGTCCGCTACAATATATTCACCCTGATTACGATTGACGATTTTCCAAGATTTACACGAATAAAGTAGTGTGTGCACAATTTGAATTACATGTAGTATCTTGACTCCTGTGTTTGCATAGCGCGTATTAAAGAGAAAATACAACATTTGCAAACATCAAAAAAATAAAACTACCAAATCATTTTGAAATACCTTGCTGGACTGTTAGAGAATGACAGTGTAAAGCATCCTGTAAAATCATGGCACCTGGTATACTGTCATTTTCAAGAAAAGTGGTATTTTTGTATCAATTTCCAATGCTGATCGGCCGATCAGCATTGGAAAAAACTGGCTTTTTTTCAAATACTGGCCCCAGTTGACCATCGCACTTGTTTGCAATTGATTACACACCTATGAACGGGTACAAGCCAGCTAGACTGGTTCTCTGACCTTACAATTCCCCAATATATGTAAACTGCTCTGTTTCTTCTTGAATGGAGTCAGGGAACCAGACTACAGGAAACTGATTGTTTTTCTTGGTTTTTATAGCATTTTCGAACCCAAAACCTCAAAAAAGTAAGTGTAACTATATTTGCTATATATTTCCAAACCCCCCAATTCCATCCATTTCTGAAAATTACAGCAAAAGCAAATGATGTTTATTCCCTTTAATAAAATGGGAATTTGGTATCAGACTATTGGGTTTGCGATTTTTAGCGCGTAAAAAGACCAACATGTAGTGTGTTCACAAGAATGATATCACTCAAAGTAAAGATCCCAATTGGGCGTAATAAATGATAGTCTGGTTTCCCAAGTGTACACATAGGCAATACGTGGAAGCAGGTTGGAAACCAGTTACGGACAGTAAAACCAAAGCGCCCCAACGTTATGCGCGTGCCCTGGGGGCGGTGAAGTGCACCCCGTGCTCTACGGTGCAATTCACGGAAATTGCAACGCGCACATTTTTCTGTGGCAATTGAACTTAATATTTTTTTCATTTTGCCGATCGAAGTAAAAACAACGATGGCTTCATTTCACCAGAAGTTTAAAAATGAGTACAATGAACAAAAAAATGGGACTTTGTGGTGAAATTTGTTCAGGGGGGGAAAATATGCATTCTGCAACATATGTCGCCATGACATTTTAAAAAAATTTTCATCAGGTTTCATGTTATGTAGGGAATTTTTTTGTTTTCAGCAGGTGTCAGATGGAAAATTACACTTTTTCAATTTCGAATGTTCGCATCTCTCAGTGATCACCTGCCTAGATTTGTCTATAGATTTATTGTATTCATCTTTCAGTGTGTTTTGTAATGTTAATTCATTAATGATAAACGCACAAGAGGTTTACTTTATCCCCGTTGAACAATAGCTCACACCTCAAAGATGGCTGCCGTACGTACAAACAATCTGTTTGTTCTTTGCAAAAACAAAGAGCTCGACGTTCCGGTCAGTATGCTCTGACCGTCTTCAGGAGAGTGCCTAAACTCTAAGAAAGTGAATACTTAAGTAGCGAAAGGTGAAATCAATGGAGTGTGAAGTTGCATCCTGTGAGGATGCCAAGTAGACAGGATCCCTGAGCAAGCTTAGTGCCCACTGAAGTGGAACAGTAGGGTTGCAGTGTCAGTGGAGGGAGGACCTAGGGTATAGGAGACCCATCAGTCTAAGGTGGTAGCTGAGGACCTAGGGTATAGGAGACCCATCAGTCTGGAGAAGTGGGAGCCAGATGTCGTTGAGATGAAACCCGATGTCTTGCGGAACTGTGTTGTGCTTGCGGATCTCGATGGCTTCCCGTATGCGTCTTGGATGCCAGAACTGGATTGGTGCGATGAGTTCGGCCGCATCCCAATCAACTTTGTGGTCGTTGATGTGGGAATGTTTGACAATGGCCGATTTGTCAAAATCCCCTCGCCGTCCATGTGCTCTGTGTTCCTTGAGCCTAGTGGGAAGGTTCCGACCGGTTTCGCCGATGTAGACTTTGCCGCATTCGCATGGAATGCGGTAGACTCCCGGCTTGGAAGAGGAGTCCTGCTTGTCCTTGTGAGTATGGAGGCTGCCTTGGAGCTTGTTGCCAGATGAGTGGTACACCTTGACGCCGGCTTGTCGGAGGATGCGTTGCAGATGATGAGAAGCTGGACCTATGTAAGGAAGAGTGACTGAGGGAGATACAGTGGGAGGACCTTGGGTATAGGGGACCCGTTGGTCAGGTTTGCTGATCTTGATGCGGTTGGGTTTGTAGCCGTTCCGTTGTAGTGACGTCTGGATGTGCTGGAGTTCACGCTTGAGGTTGTCTTGGTCGCAGACCTCGAAGGCTCTCTGTACTAGGGTGCGGTTGACCGATGACTTGATGCTGGGGTGATGGAACGACCGCTGGTGGAGATAGCGGTCGGTGTGGGTGGGTTTCCTGTAGACGCTGTGTCCCAGGGTGCCATCCGGATTCCTGGAGATCTTGACGTCCAGGAAAGGAATGGTGCCATGCTGTTCTTGTTCCATGGTGAAGCTGATGCTGGTGTGTTGCTTGTTGAGGTACTGGAGGAAGTCTTGGAGTGTGTCCGGGCCATGGGGCCACACTACGAAGGTGTCATCAACGTAGCGTAGCCACAGGCTCGGCCGAAGATCCGCTGTGAGTAGGGAGGAAGACTCGAACTCCTCCATGAAGATGTCGGCTAGGACCGGGGATAAAGGAGATCCCAAGGTGTACCACTCATCTGGCAACAAGCTCCAAGGCAGCCTCCATACTCACAAGGACAAGCAGGACTCCTCTTCCAAGCCGGGAGTCTACCGCATTCCATGCGAATGCGGCAAAGTCTACATCGGCGAAACCGGTCGGAACCTTCCCACTAGGCTCAAGGAACACAGAGCACATGGACGGCGAGGGGATTTTGACAAATCGGCCATTGTCAAACATTCCCACATCAACGACCACGAAGTTGATTGGGATGCGGCCGAACTCATCGCACCAATCCAGTTCTGGCATCCAAGACGCATACGGGAAGCCATCGAGATCCGCAAGCACAACACAGTTCCGCAAGACATCGGGTTTCATCTCAACGACATCTGGCTCCCACTTCTCCAGACTGATGGGTCTCCTATACCCTAGGTCCTCAGCTACCACCTTAGACTGATGGGTCTCCTATACCCTAGGTCCTCCCTCCACTGACACTGCAACCCTACTGTTCCACTTCAGTGGGCACTAAGCTTGCTCAGGGATCCTGTCTACTTGGCATCCTCACAGGATGCAACTTCACACTCCATTGATTTCACCTTTCGCTACTTAAGTATTCACTTTCTTAGAGTTTAGGCACTCTCCTGAAGACGGTCAGAGCATACTGACCGGAACGTCGAGTTTATACCTCTGGTTCTTTTCAGAACCATTCTCTTAGTTGAGAAATTATTCGCACATGGTGTTTCCGCAAACCTTTCATTATTTAGTATCTTCACCATGCAAAGCCTCAAATCTTACTTAAAAACAAAGAGAATTGCATTTTCAACTGCAACCAATTATTAGCTTGTGGATTGCACGTGCATTCAACGTTAATGGTCTTGTGACTGGTTGACCAAGTCAGGATCAATAAAATTACCTAGAGGCATCCTTTATTGATAATTATTTGATTGTTTACAATTTGTTGCCAGTGGTGTGCTTGTATGTACAGACGTCATGGCCAGAGGAGTCGACATTCCTGAAGTCCATTGGGTGCTGCAGTACGACCCACCCAGCAATGCAAGGTACACACTTAATAAAGCCGATTCTATCAAAATAGCCCTTTTTTTCTTCAAAATTCCTCCCATTCAAAAAAGAGTGTTTGCATGTATAACAGTTAAAAAAAAAAGTCCCAGCAAGGTTTTAAGATGCTTCCCTGTTTAACAAGATCTCAAAAATGATGACAAAAGAGAGATTATCCATGTACTTTTATTAATTTTTTATTTTATAAAACTGGGTAGCCCATTCAGTGGAGTCCACTGGTCTCCCATGGGGCCCAGTATTAAAGAGAAGACAATGTGACGAAATTACAGTTTTAGATGTGGAGGAAAACCCAAGAAAAGTATTGTGAGGAAAACCCACGGAATCAAGTAGGGACTGAAAACCCAATCCACATATTGGCCCGGGCAGGAATCGAACCCTTGTCACAGCAGTGGAAGGCGAGGAAAGTACCGCTACGCCAACCTGACTCCGCTTGAATACAGACATCTTAAATGCCATTGCCGGCTATAGGGTATGCGTCTCGGGATGTACTAGCTTTCGCTTATTACAGTGGTGAAGTAAAAATGCCACTGTTTTGTTTGTAAAAGTTGAACAATGAAATTGACTGGAGCGGGGTTTGAACCCACGACCTTCGGATTACCATATCAGTGCTCTACCAACTGAGCTGTAGTTTTGACAAAGTTCCCATTTTTCATGATCAGTGCCTTTGTTCATCGTTGCGGGAGGACAGCCAGGATAGGTAACACAGGCAATGCATTGGTTTTCTTGCTGCCAACTGAAGATGCCTACGTGGATTTTATCAAGCTCAATCAAAAGGTAAGTTAACACAGAAAATGACATTAGAAAGTATTCCAAATCTGACCCAACCCAACACAATAGTGAGGTGTTGCATCATACCAGATTTGTGTATGCATTCGTTTAGCTATCCGCAACTGTTATCGACCATTCCGTTGTTTCGCACTGTGTGCACATGTTTAGTTATCGGAACTGTTACCAATAAAAGCAGCGTTACTAATAAAATAGCAGCCTCCATTGGAAGCCTTGTATCTGCGGCTGATCCTGCTTGGAAACACAGACAAATGAAACATACATGTTTAGCAGTTCATCCTCTTTTAATTAAATCAGACATGATAAAGTAAAGGGGTGAAAATCAGCAATTCACTATGCGTTTCACTCTCAAGTAGCGCACAACATATCCGTGCCATGTACACGCACAGCAGACCACCACACAATCTGATGGCAGGCTTATCTGTGGCGCTAACCGTAACCATTTGCTTGTGAAACCTCTCTAATGATTCAGAAGTCTCCAGATCATGAACATGAAATTAATTTTTTTAAAAGCTCTTACACATATCTCGCACAATGAAATTCAGTAGGAACTATTAATATGAGTCCTCTATTTCTCGCCCCGGGACTATTTTTGCCGAAAATTCTGATTTCCGCAAAATGCCAAATTTTCCAGCCAATTTCTGATATACAGCCAAACGCCACAAATACTGATTCGCAAGAGTCATTTCAACAGTATTTGTACGATATTTCTTGCCAAAACCTCATATGTGTACTGGAGTGTAAATTGTACAACAATAGGCCGTGCACAACGGCCAATTCAAGATCAACACACGGTCCGCCTCCACAGACTTCACAGACTTTGTGTGTGTGCAAAAAAGGCATTAGGCAATCTTGACGTCTACCCGTCAGACTTGCCTGTGTATAAAAACAGCCAGTGCGTGTTATCATGTCCTCTGACGCCAACTGGTTAAATCAATATTGAGGGCAAGGGATGGTGTTGTAGAGAATATACGCAGTACATTGATGTTGATTTTCATGCTGACCACTTTGATCTTGAATTCTCACACCTGTGTTAGACACCACTTGAGAGATACCACGTTCAGGATGAGGTAGAGACCACAGATGTACTGCCAAGGCTGAGAAAGATAGCACAGAAAGACAGGTAATTAGGGCCAAGAAATCTTGCCCAATTGGAAACATTTCAAAAATATGACATTAAAAATCCACCATTGGCGTTGTTTCAAACCATTGAAAGTTTGGAAATGAACTGATGTTATCAAAAATCCCTTGAGGTGTGGGCATTTATTGGAGGAGTATCTTCTAGTAGGTGTGATTTTAACTGTGCTTCGTACTAAAACTTTTCTAAGGTTCTTGTTTTGAAGTAGTAATGTTAATGTACATTTTCACACAGGGCATTATTTGAAGGTGGGACCAGAGCGTTTGTATCCTTCGTGCAGGCTTACTCCAAACATGAGTGCAGTCTAATCTTCAGAATAAAAGGTACATCCTCTTTGTCATTTCTGTGTATGGAACAAAGTTACAGTAAAATCCTGATAACTCAAATTCGGACAACTCAAACTCCGTTTATCTCGAAGTAATACTCCATTCCCGTCAAGAGAATAAGATATTATGTACATGAACACCCCCTGTAACTCGAAATGCCTGCACTGGTACCTCCGTTTATCTTGAACCTTTGTTCGGCCAGTCCATAAGAAACCACTGCAAAAACAGTCACAAAAAGTGTAACAAAATGTAAAATTTTGTTCACGAGTCATTTCTGCCCAATGCACTTCATCTTCTCACGTGGGGGCAAGGGGGATGCAACGCCATGCATGCTGCCATTGTGATCGCACTCCAGCCTGTCATCCCAACAAATCCTGGCTTTTGAGTTAGCCTGACCGCCACTGCTGGCCCAATTGTAGGCCGCACGCCGGCAGTCCAATCGATCTTCGCGGTGGCCATGGGCGTCGCCAGGATTTTTTCTAGAGGGGGGCAAACATTTTTTTTGCCAAAAAAATGCTTGTATTTCTCAACACATTCTCGATTTATCAGTTTTAGAGGGGGGCAGGGACATTTTGCTCCCTCCCCCCAACTCATTAAATTTACACCACTTTGTCACACCACTTTTTTTTTTTTTTTTTTGCTTTTCCAGGGGGGGGCAAGTGCCCCCCTTGCCCCCCCCCCCCTCGCGACGCCCATGGCGGTGGCCATAATGTGACTGCATTGGAAACCCAAGAGGATGCGTGCGTCTAGCTTTCGATTTAGCCTCATTGCTACTGTTGCAACTCCAATGCTGGTGCGCACTCTATCAATTGCATAAGACTGGTCATGTGACCGCACATCGGAAAACCCCGCAAGTGGTTGGTAATTAGACAAACGACACGAAAGAAAGATTTGCTACATGCTGTTTACACAATTTCAGTGGTTTATTGTTATGTTTATCTATAGAGCAAAAACTTTTAGGTAGAACAATATGAAATCTGAGTAAAACAATGATTTTCGACTAAAAAGAAATACACCATTGGAATGCGAAAAAAAAGGAAATCCAAATAACGTGTCCATTTCTTAGCTGGGCATAGTGACTTACCGTGGAAGCCACTCTTGTACATGCATGTACGTGAAGATTCCTGACTGTGGAGTCGGGAACCTTGCTCAACTCCAACTCTGGACACCTGAAGTTTGTATCCATTCCCTTGAGATTGGACTTATCGAGAGTTTGCTATATTAACAATTTGAGAGACCACCCACATACGCATAGAGCTGGATAGCTGAGTTGGCAGATCACTTAACTTGCTCGCACAAGTAAGTCACAAGAAATGTCACAACTCTGCTCACAAGTAACAGAGATTTAACAGTAAAAAAGGATTCCTATATCACAGTTCATTAAAAAAGTTTGTGACTTGACTTGAGACTGGATGACTTGCTATTACAGACTTTTGAGGACTAAATAAATACTTGGTGACAGGTTTACCTGACACATGTGTAACTTAAAGGTTAACCTTGTCAGTTTCCTGTGTTGTTTATTGAATATTTCAGATTTCATAGGCAAAATGTGTCAAACATTTTTTTTTTTGAGCCACGATTTCAAAATCCGTTTTATTTCATATCTGAAAAATTGAAAACGACATCTCCCAGGGGTCATTCTCGATATATGCTAATAAGCAAAGCCTGACCCCAGTACCCTTCTAAGGCACATCTACCGCCTGTGTTCTGTTAACAGACCTGGACTTTGCCCGGTTAGCCAGGGGCTTTGCCTTGCTGCGCATGCCCAGGATGCCTGAACTCAAGGGCAAAAGCTTTCCTGACTTCCAGACAATAGACATTGACTACAGTGCCATCCCCTACAGGTAGGTGTTCTGCAGTACTTCATCACTCTGGATATTCAGGCAGGCTTGCATAAGGCCAAAAAAAATAAGTCTCCGGTTTCTGGTATGGAGCTTGTCCAAAAAGTGGTGCGGCGACGCGGCTTTTTTTTTTTTTTACCTGACTTTTTTGCTTCAAATGTCGGCTGATGACTGCAAATGGTGCGCGACTAAACTTATTGCAAATATATGGGAGTCCAGAGAGGCCACATAAAGCTTATTCTCGATCATAAACCAATCTAAAAACACGTTAAAATTGTGCAGTAGCAGGATTCCAGTCAAACCAGTGAGTTTGGCGGTTTTGAGACATCATCTTTCATTGAAAAAAAAACTTTTTCATTTTGCCGACGCGCATGGCTACGGCGACGCGCGCGCATACCAGAAACCAGAGACTTTTTTTTTTGGCCTAATATACAAATATGGAATGCTTCGAGTGGTGCAGTAAAACTAGCCTCCCGAGGTGATCCATGGTCATTCCCGAGTAGCGAAAATAGAATGCTCCATGGATCACCGAGGGAGGCTAGTTTTACTACACCACGAGATAAAGCATTCAATATTTGTTTTATAACACTTCACCCACAGATTCTGCTCGGTTTTTAATATTTTAAATTATTTAAATCTGAACACAGTTAAAATAAACTTCTATTTCAATACAAAATTGGTGGGAAACGTAGTTCTCTCTTCCAAAGCACGCCTTCACAAAATGTTTGAACCCAACTCTGTTGCGCACTCTCTTGTGAACAGTACACGCTACGCGCAATGCTCAACATGCACAGCAGCATTCATTTGCACACAAATACCGCGCCATGGGTATAGTACTTGGGTTGCTAATGGTATAGTACTTTGGTTGCTACAGGTATAGTACTTTTGGCCATGCACTGAAAGATAGCAAAAATAGAAAGTACCATGTGACTCGCTCTCGGCCAATCAAGACACAGAATCTGTGGGTGAGGTGTTATAATACAAAATTGTCATTGGTTGCATTAAGAGATACTTTGCAACTGTTAAACTTTCTTTTGAAAAACCATTCTTCGTCTTGGCATTTCAGGGAAAAAGCCAGAGAGAAACAGAGACAGACCAACATTAAACGTAAACAAGAGGGTGATGTGGCTTCCTCAAAGAAGAAAGGTCCCAAGGTACGACAGACTGAAAAAAATAAAACAAGCTGAAATGGAACGGGGAAAAACCCTCCTCTTCCTTTCTGCAGGAGGCAAATTCCGTCTGTATTGAAGAAAATGTAATGTCCATGATGGAGCCAATTAATTATATCTAATTAACAAATCTGAGACATTATCTAAATGTCCCATTCTGTAATCTCCTTGACCATTACTAGATGATGGATGCATAAGATTTGATAAATACATTTTCAGGTGTAAAAGGCGGAGCTCTTAAAGCTCTGTCAGGGACATTACATTTTTTTTCCATAATGGTGGAATTGCCCACAAGGACTTACAAAAAACTTATGGAATTGGATTGAACAGGTTTATTGTTAAAGGTAAAATACAACCTTTGCAAACATCTAAAAACAAAACTACCAAATTGTTATGAAATACCTTACTGGACTGTAAGTGAATAATAGTCTTCAGCATCCTGTGAAATCTAGCACCTGGTGGGCTGTCATTTTGAAGAAAACTGGACCTTTTGTTTCAATTTCCAACGATGGTTGGCTGATCATCGTTTTGAAATAACTGATTTTTTTTTATTCAAATACTGCCACCAATTTACCAAATTTGGTTAGTCCACATTTTGTTTGCAATCGGTTACACATCCGTGAACGGGTGCAAGCCAGCTAGTCTGGTTCCCTTACCTGACAATTCCGCGAAGTCTATAATTTGCTTTGTTTTGTCTGAAGTGGGGTCAGGGAACCAGACTACAAGAACAGCATTTTTTTCTTGGTTTTTCCTGTGTCTATGAACACACAACTTAAACAGATCAGCGTAACGATATCTGCCATAAAATACTAACCCCCAAATCCATCCATTTCTGAAAATTACAGCAAAAGCAAGTGTTGTATGTAACCTTTAGACTTCAAAGTTAACACCCACTTTACAAAAAGAAAATTATACTTAGAAAACAATTTAAAAAAATTACAATTAAAAGTAAAATATCTTAACGTGAATGGGATGTGGAATAGGACTATTTCTGAATCTTTACTTCTACAACGAAATTCATAGCAATTGAAATCATTCAATGTAAGTTGTACCACACCATCATAACTTGTTTGTTTATTATCAATTTGTTTTGGGTATTTCCAAATGCTATAATTATGCTTAGGCCAAAAAAAAAATAAGTCGGTCTCTGGTCAGCGCGCGCGTCGATCTTTGTTTTTTCCAAAATGTTCCGCGGTAGCTCCAACAGCACCCTCTATTTCCGCACCTCCTCAATTTTTTTTACCAAAGAGCACCAAGGAATGGGAAATTGCACCGAGGCAAATGATCGTAAGCACCAAGGCAAATTATGGAGGACACCAATGTACATGAGGACACCAAAAAAGCAAAATACATGTAGTACCCACCTTTTCTGTACAATCCAAGCTTGAAGAAAAAAAAAAAAAAGCAAAAAAAAAAAAAAAAGTCAAAACGTCAATTCTGGAACTTTATTTGGTCTGACCAGAGACCGAATGTTTTTTTTTTTGGCCTTAAATAGACTGACTTTGTGCTATTTTTATATTTGGATAATGGCTATTCGTTTTTCGAAAAAACTTTGTTCTCTGCACCTTTCTTTTTGCCCACGTAGAAAAAAGTCCAACCGTGGTCCAAAAAACAGGAGGTGAAGGAGAAGAGACAGGACAGAAAACAACGAAAAGAGAACTCCAACAAAAAGAAAAGACAAGTGAGAAAAAAACATTTGTTATCCTCAGGTCCCAATTTCACGGCTCTGCTTAGCAAAGAATCTCTGCTGACCTGAGCAGGAAATTTCATGCTTGCTGTCAGTAAGTTTCACGGGTTAGCAAGCAGTTCGGTTTCCGTGCATGTGCTCATTCGGTCAGGGAGTGTTCTGTGCTGACATAATTTCCACTGAATTGTTTGCGGTAGTGTTGTTAGCACAGAATAAGCCACTTGCGTGTTAAATTTGAATAAAATCTGGAACGCTGACTTAATACAATGCTTTGCACGTTTTAACCTAGCATTCTCCCGACCAAAGAGACTGTTACTATATCACGTGATTCGGGGCAAGCCTTATGCTAGCAACCCCCAGCTCTGGCATGGTCTGGTGTCTTTGTGCCATTCTCACCCATTGTGAACGATGTATTGGTGCTGAGCGTCTCTTACGTAACTATGCAAGAGCTTGCCCCGAATCATGTGATTAGCAACAGTGTCTTTGGTCTGGAGAATTCACAGTTAAAATGTGCCAAGCATTCTGAGCAAGTCATTGTACCAGACGTTTTTCAAATGTAAATCCCAAAGGGTATAGGTTACACGCAAATGGCTTATTGTGCTTGGTACGTAGTGCATTATATTTTGGTAAGCAGGGTCATTAACTCTAACCCCCAGGCCCTTTTTGCTAGGAACCATCCTCGATCCTCCATAATCCTCAGAAATTTTGCACTTGAATTCAAATGAAGGATACCCAGCGCCTCAATCCTTCAAAATCCTCCGACAGTCCTGCCTCTCAAAATGCATTCATCCTCAATCCTCCATAATTGCCAGGACTTTGGAGAATTGAGGGTTAGGGTTAAAAGTGGTCCCCAATTTTGCGCTTAAGAAAATTGATCGAGAGAAAGAAGAAAGAGACGTTAGGTGTGTAAATAAAAAATTAAGCATTAAGAATTAAAAACCAGTGGTAAGGAAAGTATACATTAGATAAACTTTTTTTGACAGCTGAGTTTGTTAAGTCCATTGTTTTTTGAACACTTTACAGACAAATGTATTCAGCATTAGAAAGCAGCATTGGGAAGGCTAATCCTAGAGACCCTTGATAGGTGGCAATCACAGAGAGCAGCTTTTTGTTACTGACATCATTTGTTTTGGGGGGTTTTTTTTAGCTTGAAGATGACGACTTGGATGAACTGATCAAGGATGCAAGGCTAGTCAAGAAACTCCGAGCGGGAAAGGTAAGTACATTAAAAAAATAAACATAAAAAAACGTCTTAGCTGCATTTCCAGATTTAGAAAAATATGTTTGACTTGACTTCTAAAATTTCATTGGTTGTTGACTCCACCATCCCCAAAGCATTGCCTTTTTTAGTATGGCAGGAATACTTGACCTTCCTTCGTTACCAACATTTTGTTATGTGCTCTAAAAAAGTCGTCATTATAAAGTTAAATTTGACTTTAGTAAAAACATTTATTGTTTAAGTTGTGTTGATAAAAAAAGTTACAGTTAGGATATTAGGAAATGAAATTGTAGCCGATGAATTTGTAACAAAACAAGCAGTTAATGTTATGTGTCGCGGGTTAGACACACTGCCAATACAATGTCGCTTTGTTGTCGGCTATTAATTGCCACTCTGTGCACGGTTGAAGATAGCCACACAGTCATGTGCGGCCACCACGAGATTGTCGCATTCAGGGGTGAGTACAATGCCCCATGGAAAACCACACCCATCGAAAATGCGTCTCAGGAATTTGCCTTTGGGACTGAATTGTTGAAGTTCACTGTGTGACCATCCGTTCAAAGCAACGTAGATGCTGCCCTCGCGGTCACAACACACTCCAGTCGGGCCCCAGTCGCTGTCAATGTCGCTGGTTATGTTCACTGAGGAAACCGAGTCTCCGTTGTAGTCTACTGCGTGTAGCATTTTATGAGGATGATTTGTGTAGATAAACTGCTTCGTGCTGGTGGTTAAGTGTTCACCAATCGTCGGAGCCTGTAATGTCTTGATCAAGGTTCCATCTGGGTCATGCAGACGGATCTTTTCTTCATACTTGAATCCCACTGCTATCTGATTGTTGTCGGCCACTGCCAGGCATGTGGGCTTGTTGTCTGCCCCTCCACCTGATACAAACTTCTTGAGGAGTTGTAGCTCCCAGCTGAAGATCTTGACTTCCGAATTGTCAAGTACAATTAACTGGTCCTTCTTGTTAACAGATACATGACTTGGATCTGTGAGATCCGGGATCAGAGTTGCTTGCGAGAGTGGAGGGGATCTAGGGGGTTTGCTTAGAGACTTGTTCAGGATCAGCTGTTGAAGTTTGATGTCCACTATGACCATTTCCTCAGTTGAGAACACGGCCACATCATAAGCACATTTGAATTTCGTCTTTTCCAATCCAAAGCTCTTGATATGGGTCTTCAGCTTCCACTGTTCTTTTGCTTGCAGTGGTTCTGCTTGGGGTGACTTCCCATCCTTGTCCTCAGATTCAGATCTTTGTTCACCTCCCAGGATTAGCAGTCCAAGTGAGCTCTCATGTTCTTCAAAGTCAACAAAGTACAGCTTTTCGGGTGCCTCCACAGGCTGCTTGAGTGTCATTTCAAGTTCCTTGAGGTTCTGCAGAAGCTTCTGACTGAGATTCAGAATCTCAAAGCAGTTGGCCTGCGTCGTCACTTGCTTAACCTGTTCCAGCTTTTGCTCTACCTTTGTTGCCCCTTTGCCATTGATGGCCTGAACAGTTTTGATCGTCTTGATTCTGTCTTGATAAATCTCCTCCAGCTCTTGCTTTAGTTTATGTTCCTCCTCTCTGATCTTGGCAACGTTCTCATCTGCCTTCTTGCCGATATTTCTCGCAGTCTCAGCGAACTTGGTTTTCAGCTTCTTCAGGGACTCCCCTGTTGTATCTGCAGCATCACTGTATCTTTTCTTTATCAGTTCAGCAGCTGAAATCTTTTCTGCTACCATTTGCTTGCATTGTTCTGAAGCTCGAGATGGGTCGGTGAGAGAATGTTTGGAGCTGCTGTGGTCTTGAACAGAGCAAGTTACGCAGACGAGCTGCTGACAAGGGATGCAGTAGAGAGTTAAGTTTTGGTCCAGATGCTTGCCACATTTTGGAATATACTCCCTCAATCTGCTCTTGAAGACAATCTCTCCGGAACGTAGCTTATCAAGCGAGCAGATTTCGTGAGATTTGATCATGGAAAGACGAGCATGTGCCCATTGGCATTCTCTGCACAGGAAAGCGTCGCAATCGATGCATCTCGAAATTGCCATGTTAGCCTCATCACAGGCTTGGCAGATGACCCCTGACCCTTGGCGTTTAGCCTGTAACTGTTCTAGTATTTCAGCCTCCACCACCAGGGCGCCCAATGTGTAGAAGTGAGGTAGCTTATCAACGTCTTTGACTAGGGTTTCTCGGTCGCAGGAGGGACATGACAACTTCATGACATGAGGACGTTCTTTCTGTCGTAACGTTTTGAGGCATTTCAAGCAAAAACTGTGCAAACAGTCCAGCACTCTAGGTTCCCTGATGAAGTTGCTGCAGATGGAGCATCGCAGATCACTTTGGGCTGGGCTTCTGGATTTTTCCATCGTTGATTTGTATTGTCACACCGAGTACAAGATTAAAAAATATCAACCTGCAGTGAGAGAGAACAATATACATGTAATCCAATCTCCATCAGTTATAGATCTGCAAATTGGCACCTGCATAACTGCACATTGACGTAAAATGGGACGTTTACACCGTTGATATTATAAAATCAGATCACAGTTCCGTACAGTGTATTAACAACATTTCGTCCCTCATAAAAAAATAGTCAAATTACCATGATATCTGTTGTTTGTTTTTTACATAGTACATGTTTTTGCATTGAGACAGACAAAATCAACAGTTATGAAGTTGTTTGTAATGCCATACGGTGTGTGTGTGGGGGGGGGGGGGGATTTTGTATATCCTGTGTAAATTGTTTGATTAGTTTGTTGAATGTATGCTGCATATGGCGGATTGTTTTTGAATGTGATAAATGAAGATTCAAGTTTGCGAATTTTTCATCAATGGAAAGAATGCATCGTTAAACGGATCATCATGGGAACAGAACACATGTTGCTATTATGCATGTTGTAGCAGCAAATCGATTAAGTTGTCATATTTCTGGGTAGGCGCTTCATCAATCCTGACTGAATTTTCCCCCTTTTTTTTGATGGGGAGGGGAAAATCAATGAAGCAGTTGAAACGTTTTGTCCATGGGAAATTTGAAAAATGAGGAGGTGATGACGGGGAGTGGGCAGATGGCGGGACACCATCTGACTAAAGATAAATCTGGGCAAATGATCTTTAAAAGGTTACTGCATATGACGTCATTAGTCCTATACAAAGATGCACAACTTGACCTCACTGAGGTCAAATCTCGCATACTGTGGGAAAACGGCAGTGCATACCCTCTATGGGCTCCATGCACAAGTACCCCATCAAGGGCCAGAAAAGGAGAGTTGGGGGTGACCTAGACTGGTTCCCGATCCATCCACTGCGTATTTCGAATGTATCGAAGAAAGTTATTGGAGGCGGGGATTAGTCTCGGAAACCATTGCAAGTTGAATTTGAACGTATTCGCGTGCCGCTGACGCCTGACGCTCACCCGAAGACAATGTGGTTAATAGCTTTTGCACATTCAGGAAGTCGTGGGTACTTGCGCGTGAACCTGTACAGTACGCGTAACATTGTGTTTTCATCCACGGGTCTCTCAAAAGAGGTAAAAACGCGGCCTCTTTTGTTGGCGCTCGGAGCCCATTCGCTCTTTTCACACTTCCGCCATGGGCATGCAGAGCCTCGATCTGGCAACTTTACACAATGAATACAGCCGGTTCAGTGATTCCCGTGTCGGGGTTCAGATCACTGAACCAGCTATTTTTATTGTGTAAAGTTGCCAAATCGAGGCTGTGCATGCCCAATAGCGGAGCGTGAAAAGAGCGAATTGTGCACAGCTTCTGCACCAGTACGGATTATCTGAATAATATATTTATGGTACACTTGCATTTTATGCAGGGTTTCTAATATCAAATTCAGATTTATAGGTCACATTTTTCCTACTTACTTGCACAGTTGTTCCAGACGTTTAGGAATTGGAAGCTATGCAGAGGAAAAAAAAAATTCTGCCCACTGAATTCCTAGTACTCACCGACAAATCACTTTAAATGACTGCGCGTGATATTTTGTGAATTGTGATCACATTTATTATTTTGAATAAGAGGTCCTTGCGGCCTTTATGTTTGGGATTGATCATAGAAATACTTGTACCGGTAGTTATGGAAATCAAGCATTTGTGACTTGTGGCTTCAAACTCGAACGTTTTTGTTCAGAAAAAAAAAGAAACAATTTACTTCGCATAGAGTTGGGGGTTTCACTTAGACTTGGTCCCAGGGTTTGGCAATCATTTTAGGGGCGTTTTGGGAGAGGGAATATGAAACAAAAATGACGTGGCTACCTCTGGTAAAATTGAACAGAGAATTGTCCTAGAAGTCGTTATCTTTAATTCCCAGTAAAAAAAACCACATTGCCACCTTGCTCCTGAGTGAGCGTCAGTAGAGGGCGCTCTTTATGTCCGATTTTGCATTGTTTCCAATGGGCACATATTTGGTGAATTGAAACCCTAGAGGACCTTGGATTTTGCTCAACACATGATGAGACCCAGGTGATTGACTGTTTCAGGTTTAAAAATTTAAAAAAATGTATATACATGTAACTGTAAAATATTGGAGTTTGGTGGAAGTAAATCTGATAAGACTTTTGTCGTGAGACAAACAAAACAAGGAAACCACTCTTTGAAACTCCTACATGAACTCCAACTATCCAGCTACCTCCTCCGTTCTTTTTATTATTATTCTTATTTCCCCGGAAACAATTCTTATTTAGCCCTCTAATCTAAACAATCATTTAAAGTGTGTATGTGTATGTATAAATAGCAGATTGCATACATTTTTTTTTTTACATCACAGCACTGGTATAGAAGAGGGGAGGGGCTTGTTACCTCCCTGAAATTAGATCTTGACTTTCGTTTGTAATTAATTTCTTGGATTGAGTGTAGAATGCTGACGTTACACATGCCCTACATATTGTTAAATTCAAAGAGATTCAATTTAGGCGTTTCACAATGCAGTGCGCCACCAAGAATTTGCCACGGAGAGTTGCTTTTCCCAGTGCATTGTGCGAGATGGTCGACGAATTCGCAGCACGGGACGTTTGAAATTGGTAGTTTTCCGGTCTGTAGTTTCGTAAGCGTGTGACTCAAGAATACGTTTGCCCTTTTATTTTTATTTTCATCAATATGGTGTTAGTTGGTATAAAGGCGGCAGAACGCCATGCCACAATCTACAGGTACATGTATAACAAATTAGCTGAAGTTGTCTACTGACACTGATTTCAAATGGGCCGCGGTTTTGTCGACCATTAACTTGAAAATGGACTCTCAATGACAAACTCTTGGGTGGCATGGGTGGCTTGTGCGTAAAGCGCAAGGTGACCCCGATTCGAATCCCAGCCGTGGGACACATGTGAGTAGAGTTGTGCGTTGGTTCTCTCCTGTGCCACGAGGGTTTTTCTCCGGGCCCTCCGGTTTTCCTCCCTCCGGAAAAATCAAACACTTTCGATCTCAGGCTGTGCTCCGTGGTCATACATGTATATGGGTCGATGTGGCCGGCAGCCATAGGCGCCTTTACGTGCCAGCGGCCCGACCACGTTGTAGCCGCGTCCTTCGCAATTCAGCATCCCAGCTGCCAGTAAGGATGATTAGCCTCCCAAATTATTATTATTATTATAATCTTGCAGGCGCACTGCATTGTGAATCGGCCAAATTGACCAACCCTGTGATTTATCTCAAAGAGATGTAATTTGCCAACCATGTGAGATAGATCCTTGGTAGTCCCCACCAATTATGCAAACGGCTGATCAGTGCTAAGAAAACAAAATGGTCTGTGATGTTGTACTTCTGAATACATACATGTTCACAAATTATTTACACAAATCAGGGTTTTCTGAGTGTTTTTTTTTTCTCCTTTCAGAGCAAACCTTCAAATCACAAATATTTACAAATTATACAGTTTAATGATATCTCCCGCAATAGTAGATGTGTGTCTGTATACTCTTCCCGGTAGTTTCTGTGCCATGTGTGTCCCCCATGGCCATGGTATCACTTGGTCTTACAGTCTGCCACTGAGGTCTGGCCTTAATTGCCACTCCTACTCACAATGTTTCTCCAACACATTCCGAATGGGCAGTTCCAGAATGTCAGTGACAGAGCTTTTAGGGGGTCAGCGAATAAACCTGACAATTGATTACATTTATGGTGAAGGAGATTAATGTGCAGACAATGTTTCGGGTCATTTCTCTGAATCATTGAGTGCATGCATGCAACTTTTTCTCGGATCAGCCGATTTCCTTGTTTTTTCACTTTTTCACACTAGTAGGCCGATAGGCCTACCATTAAAAATTGAACAATGATTGTATAAAGTCTTGTCAAGCTTGGAATTAATCTACAATGTATTTCTATTTTTTGTTTCTTCTCGATTGTGTTCCTGTAAATTAGATATCATGATTCATTGGATCTGTCACAGGCATTACACTTATTTTCATAATTTCTGGAATTGCCCAAATGTATAAAACTTACATCTAGCATGTTTATCATTTACAGCTATAGGCCTAACAGATCATGAAATTCTCCAAAACAAGAATTGATATTTTTCTCCAAATTTAAATAGGCCTAACACAGTTTTTGGTTTTTAAGTTAATTAAAACAGAGATCCACTTTTACACTATACAGATTTCATACAAAATTACCTAAATATTAAATAAACTTTACAACAGGATTTGGGTGATGTCTGGCATGCCCCCAATATCGTCACAGAGCTGACACACCGTGGAAACCCTGTTTCAAGTAACTCGCGTTTGAAGTTCAGCCCTAAACATGAGAAATTCCAAGACCAAGATTAATTTAAGTACCTTTAGAAACAGAATAGTAAGTTGGTGGATTTCCAATGTTATGTCTATAAATTGACTCATTTGTAACCTACCAACAGTTGCAACTGTACAAAAATAGTCATAAAGTTGTAAATTTTGAAGACCCCAATTAATTTTTAGTGGATTCTGACAGAGGAAGACATGTTCTATCCAGTCATTTTCATTTCGTTGATTTTCGGAATGACACACTATTACATAAATTGGGTCAAAGGTCACGATAACATGTTAAAGGTCACGTGACCTACTTTTCACAAAATTAAATTTTGACAAAAGAGTTGATTTGAGCATGCAATTCTTATTACTTTAATACCAAATTCGCATACATTCAATGAAAACTGACATGGTTTTGACATTTCTACCAAAAGGGTGGTATTTTACTTTAAAAATGTCAATTTTTTGTGGTTTCTGCCCTGACCACATGGTAGGTCGGTTCGGGCTAAATATTGGTGTGCATTCATTGCTCATCAGGACCTACAAGCACAGCAATTTTTATCAAAATCGGAAGACATGAGGTAAAAAAGTGCGTTGGTCTGACATGGAATGACCCATAGCCGGTTGGTACCGTATTGGAACGCACACCTTACATTAGCTGGTTACCAGCGAAACTCTGTATTCGTCACTATGTCAATTATGGATTTGTTATTGTGAGTGATGGGGCTCCGAATCTTAAAATGCAGACAAGATTTAAGATTCGCCGGTATGTCAGCTCTGCGACGCTATGTAAATGTATACTAGATATACATGTAGGGTCATTTGCAAAGACTGAAACACCAAACTGCCAAAATGTTATGAAAAAGCCCACAGGATTGTTAGTACATAACAGCATGAAACATACATCGTATGAAACCTTTGAGCCGGGTATGCTGTCATTCTCAAGAAAAGAGGAATTTTGTATTAGTACTAAGGCCAAAAAAAAATGTTCTGCTTCCGATTACATGGCATTTGAAAATAGGGTAGGAATTTTTTTAAATTTTTTTTTGCCAATTTTTTTGTGTGTACAATCATATGGCGGCGTCTGCGTGTAGTCAAGGGTAAAAGGTATAAAGTGATGGTTTTGGGTGTTTTTTTTCTCATTTTTCCAATAAAGAAATTAGGGTAGGGGCTGTCAGAATAGGGTAAGTAGGGAAACCGGAAGCAGAACTATTTTTTGTGTGGCCTAATCAGGGTTAAGACCTAGCCAGCTGTTTTCTTCACTATGCTTGGGTATGCTGGGTATATTTTCCCACATCATCTGGAAGCACGCCCTGTGACCTACATTACATACATACGTGTACATGTATGTGTTCTATGTACTACAGATTCTGCAAGCTGCACTTTGACGGTTGGAAATGAACAGCATTTTTTCGTGTTTTTCCAGCGCCAGTGAACACAAAGCATGCAACAGCTCATCAGTGGAACGATGTCTGCTATAAATTAATAGCCCATGAACTGGCCCATGCAATGTATTTTTTTTTATGCTATCAGTGAAAATGCACCTTTGTGTCCCATTTAACCTCATTTTCAATTTTCGTTTTATTTTTCAATTTTTTCCAATTTATGAAGGGTACCGGTACTTTGCTGTCTTTGGTTTGTGCTAATGCGAATTTTCATGTTCGTGAACTGTGATGTCATTCTGGGCAGAAACCTCAATGTTCCAGCAGAAAAAGTTGCTTGAATTTTGGTTATTTAGCTGTCATGAATTTTCTTTTCTTTGATGATTCATTGTATTTATGCATGGCAGTTACCCAATGAGCAGCCCTTTCTCACCTTAATGAGCAAATTTTGGGTTTACAAGTTGAACAGAAAACCCGTAAACTGAAACAATGTCTTCCTGAAATGACATCTCAGCAACAGTGCCCTCAGTTGTGTGGAAAAGCATGGAGAATGGTTTCACGAAGTGCACTTTTCAACAAAATCAAAGTCAAATAGTTTTCCAATACATTTAAAGGAGTAGAAATTGCACAGAATGTGTTCCTAAGAATAGTTCATCGCATGGACCCTTTAAATCGTCCAATTCATGAAATAACAACAATGTAAATGATACTATTTGCATTTAAAGAAGCGCTGTGTAATTCCTGCTGAATGGAGCTCTGATGAGTACACATCCTAGCTTAGCAAAATTCTCTCACTCATAGCTAAGCTAGCTATGCTCGCTTGTCTGGTTTCAAATTCTATCAAACTCCACACAAATAAAAAATATAACATTATTTAAAACAAATCATCATCAAGGCTGGATACTGCCCCCTCCTCAAAATATCTCAGAAAAATCATACACTGTTCCAAATTTGTAATGCTTTTTAAACTCAGGACAAGCGTTTTAGCAAGGCTGCGTAATTGAGATTCCTAGTGTTTTGTACGTGTGTGTTCAAGTTGTTTTAAAGCAAATATTCAATAATCAAAATATGCAACGGAAACAATTTAACAAATTAACTGACATTCAACTTTTTTGATGGTTCTCTAGGTTCTAGAAGTACGTTTGGGCATGGCAGCCCAAAAGAAAATTTAGTTTTGATTCTCTAAACTGTTTAAACTTATTCTACACATGATATAAATTTGCAGAATTTCTATTTAAAAAAAAACTATTCGCTGCTTAAAAGTTGAAGTGTGAAGAATGTGCAAAAAACTGATTGTTTAAAATATATTTTTGTGGCTGAACTTATGTGAAAATAACTTGTCTAAATATGGAAACAGAAGTGTTTGTTGCCACTATGAGATGGTTATCATCTGGTGTTAATGTGATGCCATGAGGCAAGCCACATCCAGTGATTACCGTGCCTAGATAAGTGCCATCAGGACTGAAACGTATTACTTCATCTGCCGGCATGTTAGTCCCAAATGCACGCACAGCAACATAAATGTTACCAGTCTTGTCGCAACACAGGCAATTTGGACCCCAGTACCCAGTACTGCTGCTTGGGACATTCACACAGAACACCATGTCTCCTGTGTATTTCTGTGCGTACAGGGTCTTGTTCCAGTAGTTGGTGTAGATGAACTTCTGTTTGTAGGTTACCAGACGGTTGTCGATCATTGTGGCATGCACAGCTTTGATAAAGGATCCCTCTGAGCTGTGAAGAAATATCTGCTTCTGGTATTTATAACCCACTGCTATCTGATTGCATTCATCCACCGCAAGGCACGTTGGTTTCTGGTTTGTCCTTCTCCCTGGTATAAACTGATGGAGGGGCTTGTATTTCTTGTCGTAGGTGTTGACTGTTGATGTGTGATTGTCCAGAACAATAAGGTGATCATGCTTGTTGACTGATACTTGTCTGGGATCAGTGAGACCTTTGATTTTGAGTACGCTTGAAACTTTGTCGGACCGAGGTTCGCTTGTGAGAGAGTACCGAATCAGTCTTTTTAATTTGGTGTCTACGATGACAATTTCGTTGTTTGAGAACACTGCGACATCAAAGGCACAGCCAAATGTTTTTTGGTCTGAACCGATGGTCTTTATATGCTTTGTGAATATCCAGTGTTCGATTGAATCTGCACTCCTGGCCGTTTCTGAATCACTAGCCACCTCTGGCCTGGATTCGGATTTCGTTTTGTCTTCTAGAATCAGGCTTTCATCTAACCCTGAGTCAGTCTTTTTAAGTTTGTTCTTTGTCTTGCATTTTTTGGTCGATGTTTGCGGCTTGTCTTCGTTAATCTCTTTCACATCTTCAGTGGATTCAGATTTTGTGTTGACTTCTGCAATCAGGCTTTCAACTGACCCTGGGTCACTCCCGTTAAGTTTCTTCTTTTGCTTGCTTTTTGGGGTAGTTTTTTGCTGCTTGTCTTCAATAATCTCTGTCATGACTTCTTCAGCCTGTGAGAAGTTTTGAAATAGAGATGTATCTCTTAATTCCATCTGCCCACCGGCTATACCGGTAGCTTGCACACCCTCTGGCTCTGATTTGTCTTCGTCGTCAAACACCAGCTTCCCGAAGGATTGATCACCTTCAAAGTCCATAAGATACAACCTGTCAGATAACTCCACTGGCTGCTTGCATGTCTGTATCAGTTCCTTGAGATTTGGAAAGAGCATCTTTTTGAGACGAAGAATCTCGTAGCAACTGTCTTGGCCAGTGAGTTGGTTAGATTCTTGAAGCATGCGCTCCACCAGACATACGTCTTGGCGGTTAGAGGCTTGAGCAGCTTCAAATATCTTGAAGCTGTCTAGATACACCTTCTCCAAGTCGTGTCTCAGCTGCTGCTCCTTCTCTTTGATCTTGGCAATCTCATCCGCAGCCTTCTGAGAGATTTTCCTGTTGGAGTCTGCAAACCTAGACTGAAGCTTCTTCAATGACGTGCCTGTTTTTGCCATCGCAGTGTACAGTCCTCCTTTAGTCTTCTCCACCTCTGCAATGAGTTTCTTTAAGTCTTGTTTGCATTTTTCTAGTGCCTCATCTGCACCAGAGAAAGAGTGCTGTGCGTGGGCTTGAACCAAGCACGTTGAGCAGATGAGCTGCTCACATTTGTTGCAGAAGATGCTGACATTCTCAGCTGGATGCTTCTTGCACTTTTGAACGTGGTCCCTCAGTTTACTCTTGTAGACAACCTTCCCTGATCGAAATTGATCCAGGGAGGAGATCTTGTGTGACTTCATTAACGTTAAACGTTGATGTGCCTTTTGGCATGCTTTACAGAGGAATTTGTCGCAGTCCTCACACCTGGAAACAGCCTGGTTCTCTTCCACACAGGCTTGACATGCAATCTCTGACCCTCGACCTTCCAGGAGCAGTGTCTGCATATTAAATTCCTCCACGAGGGCGCTCAACATGTGACATTGAGGCAGGTCGGCAACATCTTTTGTTCTGGTCTCTTTTGAACATAGCGGGCAGATAATCTTGGAGCCGTTGGATATTTGCTGGTTGCAAAGCTCTTGGAGACATTTTAGGCAGAACTTGTGCATACAGTCAAGGGCTCTTGGCTCTCTGAAATAGTCATTACAGATGGAGCATTGCAGACGATCCTTGGTTGCTTCGCAACAAGCAGTTTGAGCTACACAACTAGATGCCATATTAAACCTTCCTATCTTTCAGACCTGTAAATCACAAGAAAAATAAATATGAACCATCAAAAGCAGTGCAACTTAACAAGAACAATTCACAATGCCGTTTGTCAAGAATCGTTGGTGAGGTCCCTTTATTAACCCTAAAATACCTGACTCCATCAAAATCAACACCCCTGTTTTGGAGGATTTCGGCAGATTCAGGATACTGCCATATTAATAAAGTTGGGGGATTTTGATGGATTCAGGATAGTAAGCCTAGCGGTACACTGCAGGATTTTTATGGATTCAGGACAGCTTCATATTGAGCAGTTGGGGGACTTTGATGGATTCAGGATCTCAACAGTTCAACTCCTTGGCTATATGTTTGGTGTGTACTACACCAGTGGATTCTGATGGACTCGTTGGTGGATTCTGATGGACTCAGGACACCAACATTTGTTTTTGCGTGACAAAATAGGTGGATGTTGGCGGATTCAGGGTACTGTCTATGAAAAGTGCTCAAGGGGTTAGGGTTAATGTACAATTGACAACCTTCTTATTCTATGCTGCAGTTAGTCATTCACCCTTCACTGTTTTTGTGTGATACCACACAAGCACAATTTAATTAGGAGGCCATGTAAAGACACTTGTTATTTACACAAGAAAGCCAATTTTAAGAAAAATGTCAATTTAAAAGAAAAAAGCCAATTTAAGAAAAATGTATAAAAACTTCTGTGCTTTGTTTAAAAGGAGTGCCATTTAGCATACGTTTGTTAACGTTTTCACATCAAGCCTTGTTAAATTGACCTCTCCTTCGTATAGTGGTAGGCCTAAACCTCTTGATTGGGGCTACCGGTATATTGTGAACGGCTCGGTTACACCTCTATGTTCCGACACCCCTATGTTCCGACTGCACATATTCCTATTCCTAACCCTAACCCTAACCCTAACCAGGAGTAACACAATCTAGGTTGTCGGAACATAGGGGTGTCGGAACATAGAGCAGTCACCAACGGCTCGGTCGGCTCCTGTTCTCTAATGACAAGATGTGTCTTCAAAACATTTTTTTTATGGACCCTGCCTGCAAAGTACAGTCCTCAGTACAGGAATACAATGTACTATGACTGAACTTACCTTTAAAAAAATGTTATTAAGCTTCTAGACATGCTAGATGCGGGCCATTCCACGGAGAGTGGGCGTGGCTGAAAAGTGGACAATTTATGAAATCTTCAAAACTAGAAGCATCACAAGTTCAAATGTGGTATCAAATAAAAGGAGACAACAAGACCTTTATTTGGGTGGTGTCCCAGTGAGATAGAAAGTAGATAAAAGCACGAAATTTGCTTTAAAAATACCTGGTTTGGGGGATAAATTCTAAATTTTAGGTAGTTATTTTGGAATCTTGTTTTCAAATGTAAAATGCAGCGAGAAAGGTTCACATTTTACAGAAAAAAATAACATGCAGAACTTAAAATATCATGATGTTTGTTATCACGAAGTTGAAGTTGATTCTGCTCATGAATATGCAAATTGCATTAACATTAAATATTAAATAAGAATAATTATAAATAAGGACATAAGTGTGCATTAATTAAAAGGCTTGCATTTAAAAAGTTAAAAATTACCCATGTAATAAATAGTCTATTACATGTACATGCCCTTTAAATGACCTGTTCCTTATTTTCTTGAGTTTGAACGGATATGATGTGTCACTGTAGTGTACAATCATAAATTACTGCCCACGCATTTTAAGTAAATAATTAAATTTGCAATGCACATGCAGTGTTCAACTGGGACAAAACAAACATGCTGCACTATACAATCCATAATGGTTGTTAATAGCATATGTCTCCATCTCCTGTTAAACTGAAGGATTGATCTTGAGTACACTCCCAGTCTTTACATAGATCTGAAGCATTGCAAGTTTTAAATTAAAAAAAAGTATGTTATTGATTTAATTAGTCTTGTCATTGAAAATAGAATACACGTTATACATACATGTACACCTGTTTCCCATGCACAGAGCCTGTTTATGTATAAAAAGGGCTTGCATAACCCCAACTCTCATGATGAGTGATTTACTAGGAATCTTCCTCACTCTTGTAAAATCCAACACCTACATGCATTATGGTAACCCAACACCTAAACTGTTGGTATATTGCCTGACCCCATGTATAAAAGCATAATCAGTTTACTAGTGCAGTCCTCACTCCAACAGAGTCAAACAAAACATGCAGATGGATTTTGAAGGGTTGGGTGATTATGGTTAATGCAGGAATACTTATGTTGCGAAGGATGACGTTGTATGGAGCGGAGTTTCAACCAGATTTTGAGCAGAAGCATTTGAAAGACATTAAAGTGTACATGTTTGTATTTTATTGTAAATCTGTGTATTTTTGGCTGACTTGAGCTACATGTATATTGAATGGGTATAGCTAGTCCGAATACATTTTTTCCCCCCTTTTATGTACGTGTACATGTATGTGGTTAGAAACTGCACTTACAAAAACGTTTGAATAATACCATTGCTTCCCTTTTGGGTGTACGTGTATACATGTACCAAACTAAACATATGGTGCTGTTTGTGTGCAGCTCCAGTTGAAAGGACCATACCTTACAGTCTGGTAGTTCATAAAAAGGTCAATATGGTTTGCTAACGTGACCTATAATGTAGTGATATTCCCAAAGGCACTTGACCTTATACAATGCTATTGAAATAGCTGTGAATAGTGGGAGTCTTTGCATAAAAGAAACTGGTCGAACATGTTTCACCAACAGTTAGTTGTGTGGTCTGGACAAGTTAAATGCCATTCTGAACATTTTAATTCGACACTGCTGTCCAGTAATTTTTAAAATCTGAAGAAAAACTTAAATTACAAAAAGGAGTAAACCAATCCAAATGTTTCAGTAAGATCAAAAACAGGATGAATAGTCCATGGACTATTTGGTGTTTCTGTTAGTTGCATGATAGTTTTGCAGAGGATGAAGCAAGACACAAATAATCCCTGGACAAAATTTTAAGAATGATCAGGTAGAACCATTTTAAGTGTGCTGCAACTTAAATTTACAGTGCAAACTTTGGTAAACATTCAGGAAAACGTCCAATGTCGGACCACAATTTATCTCTCTGCTTTGATAGCGACATGTAACCATAGTTACATGGCAACAAAATATGACTGTTTTGCCTTATCAGTATTAGCCTGAAAATTTAACACATTTTGTAAGAAAGTTTAAAAGTTTTTATTGTCTTTGTGATGTTTTGCAGATAACGGATGCTGATTTTGACAAAGAAATGGGGCTGGAGGACGACAAGCCAGAAGCAGAAACCCTTGAGTAGGATGTGAACTGTGGATAGTCATCATCTTGTACATGTACAGGGTGTCTGAAAAAAACCACCTCATCCCCGCCCTCTTTTTCACAGCTTTTAATAGATACATTGCAAATATCTTTACATATTTAGAGAGTATAGTTCATGAGCTTTTCAACAGCGAAAAAAATCTTTCCAATCGGGTAAATATTTATTGAGCTATGGCCAATTCAAAATAAGTGCCGATTTTTCAATCTGTCCACGGTCTCAATTGTCATTTTGTTAGGAATGTAATGAAGGGTAGTTTTGCTTTCTTTAATGTTTTAATCTTTCTTTCTTTATTTGGCTCAGTTTATTTTATATTTTTTACAACAATGGTCATTTATCCTTTTTGAAGTAATGGTAAAACTGAAAAGGACTGTTTGATTAACTTCTTAGATGTTTACTGTGTTGCTTTGTCTCTGCCCTCTACTCGGCAAGTTTGGGCCCATGTTCTTATTGCGGCAGTCAAAATATCAGTCGCCGTGGACAAAATGAAACAGCGGTATTTGTTTTCAAGTGTTCAATTGGCCATAACTCAATCAATATTTCCCCCATTGGAAATCTTTTTCGTTGTTGAAAAGCTAATGGACAATACTCTCTATATATGTATAGATATTTGCAATGTACTTTATTTTTCAAACTGTGAAGAAGAGGGCGCTTTTGAGGGTTCGGTTTCATTTTAGATACCCTTGAGTGTCACTTATGGTGCTTTATGGTCAAACAGATCCAGCATGGTCCAAATCGAGTTTATATTTTACAAATACCATCACCTGGATGATAAATTAATCCGTCGAACATAATTTGAAAGGGCCCATGACATGAATTGTACTTGGGAACATATTTTGTGCAACTTTCTACTCCACTTAAATGTGTGAAAACTATTTGACATCCGTTTTTGGTTAAATTTATTGAAAAGTGCACTTATTTTATACATTTAGTATATTAGAACTTCTATTTATGTTTTATTTAATTTTAATTATATATTTCCCAGGACCCCATGGAAGACCACAAGTTAATGTGAATGGGTTTTCTTGGTAAAATAAAAGATAATAATAATAATATTAATAACCTGTTAAACTGAAGGATTGATTTTTGAGTACACTCCCAGTCTTTACATAGATCTGAAGCATTGCAAGTTTTCAATTTAAAAATTATGTTACTGATTTAATTATAGTCTTGTCATTGAAAATAGAATACATACATACATATGTACACCTGTTTCCCATGCACAGAGCCTGTTCATGTATAAAAGGGCTTGCATAACCCTAACTCTCATGATGAGTGATTTACTAGGAATCTTCCTCACTCTTGTAAAATCCAACACCTACATGCATTATGGTAACCCAGCACCTAAACTGTTGGTATTGCCTGACCCCCATGTATAAAAGCATAATCAGTTTACTTGTGCAGTCCTCACTCCAACAGAATCAAACAAAACATGCAGTTGGATTTTGAAGGGTTGGGTGATTATGGTTAATGCAGGAATACTTATGTTGCGAAGGATGTCCAATTCTTTTCATGACAACTGAGGGCGTTGTTGCTGTGATGTCATTTCAGGAAGACTCTGTTTAGTTTCAGGGTTTTCTGTTCCAATTGTGAACCCAAAATTTGCTCATTGAAAACATTTGTGAGAAAACGTTGCTCATTGGCCTACTGTCATACACTGAAACAACAACAAATCAACAAAGAAAAGAAAATTTACGACAGCCAAATATCCAAAATTCTGGCAAGTTTTTTAACATTATTAAAGGTTTCTGCTTTAAATGACATCCCACTTTTGATCATGAATATGCACATTTGCATTAGTGTAAATACCAAATAGGCACCAAAATGCCCTAAAAAAATGGCAAAATGAACTTCGAAAATAAGGTTAAATGGGTTACAAATGTGCAGTTACAAGGACTGCATTAAAAAAATGTCATTACAATACGTCACTGTGCTCGCATTCTTGTATCTCAAAGTTGACGTGTGTGCCCATTTAGTTTTACTCGGCCTAAGGCCAAAAAAAAAATAAGTCGGCCTCTGGTCAGCGCGCGCGTCGATTTTAAGCATGCGCGTCGTTTTTTTTTTCCTCAAAATGTTCCGCGGTAGCTCCAACAGCGCCCTCTATTTCCGCACCTCAATTTTTTTTTACCAAAGAGCACCAAGGAATGGGAAATTGTACCAAGGCAAATGATCGAAAGCATCAAGGCAAATTATGGAGGACACCAATGTACATGAGGACACCCAAAAAGCACCAAAAAGGCCGCGTCAATTCCGGAACTTTGGTCTGACCAGAGACCGAATATTGTTCTTTTTTGGCCTAATTGTTGCTTTTTTTGGGGGGGGGGGGATTACAGTTTTCGATTTATTATGGCCTACACTGTAGGCTTGCTACAGCTTCGTGTCTTTAATGACTTAGCACTGTTATCTTATACGAGTATGCATTTTTTTGTAGTCATCTGTGCAAAGTTAAATGTGACAAGACCGCCACATACTGATCTATAAATATCAAATTTGCACATTTTATGGTTCAATTTAAATTGCATAGTTGATGAATTTTACAGCTGGGCCTCAGTAATGAGAAGGAAAGAGTGGGCGGGTGGCACCATGTTGAGACCCGATCGGGACTCTCCAAACAACTTGTCAACTTGATTTTCTTTCTTTACCATGTTCTTTCTCAATAAAGAAAAGACCCGTTGAGGTGTTTTTAAACATGAAACACAGGCTACACAATTATTCCATTTAATGTAATCAAATAAAACAAATTCGTAATTTTTGTACATTTTGTGTGCTGCGGGCTTTAAACGCTGCGAGGCAAAACATTTCATTTGGGATTTGGTCTGTCGCACTAGCTAGTATGACAGACCAAACAGTACGACTGGTCATATCCCAAATTCGAAAAAAGGAGTTCCAGCACCCCAGTTAGTGGGTCTAACCCTTCCAGTCAACCAGTCACAAATATTCAAGGTGCACTTTTAAAATGAAAATTGCAGCCTTAAAATACCTCCTAAATAACCTCAATCCCAAATGTACACTCATCAGTCGATGTAGCACAACTTTCCTTTACTCGGGCATTATTTCCTCTTCTCTGAAGCGCATTCTTTTTCTCCGGGTATCCAAAGGAATCCAAAATGAGTGTTCACCGGGCAAAACTTTGAAGAGAGAAGGGACTTTCTCGCTTATAGCTGCCGCGTGTACAACCCGTTGATATCCCTACGCACCACTTTGCTACCCCCTGAATAACACGCGGTAGTCCAATCTGAGGGATTTCCGTGTGTGATATTTCCTAGGTTTGCAGCTAGCGTTGCTCATGTTCCTAGCACGTGACTTTGGGTGTATTCCCTTGCTACGTGCGTGGTATATAATGGAGTCCCCTATATCCTGACGCAATCTGAGGGATTTCCGTGTGTGATATTTGCTAGCACGTGACTTTGGGCGTGTTCCCTTGCTATGTGCGTGGTATATAATGGAGTCCCCTATATAACCTGATGCAATCTGAGGGATTTCCGTGTGTGATATTTGCTAGCACGTGACTTTGGGCGTGTTCCCTTGCTATGTGCGTGGTATATAATGGAGTCCCCTATATAACGTGACGCACTAATTCGACGGGACTGTTAAGAGCTTAATGAAATTTTACTTACTGTGAAATTTGAGGTACTCCAACAAATCCGAAAGTCTCAGGTTACCCCCCCCCCCCCCCGCCTGTTCAACTTTGATGTTAAATATATTCCAAGATATAATGTATACATTTCTCACGAGTCCTATAAATTTGAAACAAAAACCTTTTTTTAAGAAAAAAAAATGAAATAATATAATTATTTGACTGTCTTTTCAACATCCAAGGACTACTTTATGTGCCATTTTACAGTAGAGTTCAATTAATACTTTAATACAGTAACTCGATGCTTTTTAACTGAATAATTTACATGGCGACTGACTAGCTGACGACGGGTCATTAATGGCAACATGCACAGCGCCCCCATCTGGCCATGTTGATTTGACTCTACAATACAGTTTGTCACACAGTTGTGAGCATTTCAGTGCTTTTCAGTTTGCACATACCTCAGTTCGTTTGAAATTTTCTAGTTTGTAAATAAGATTTTATTTCATGGACTGATAGAGGCAAGTCGACAATACCGGAGAACAGAAGAAGCAGAATTTTGTCGAAGTACAGGATTACACGAAATAAACGATGGACATTGATCCAAATGATGAAAGGTTTGCGGAAACACCATGTGCGAATAATTTCTCAACTAAGAGAATGGTTCTGAAAAGAACCAGAGGTATAAACTCGACGTTCCGGTCAGTATGCTCTGACCGTCTTCAGGAGAGTGCCTAAACTCTAAGAAAGTAAATACTTAAGTAGCAAAAGCGAAATCGATGAAATGTGAAGTTGCATCCTGTGTGGATGCCAAGTAGATGGGATTTAGAGTTTAGGCACTCTCCTGAAGACGGTCAGAGTATACTGACCGGAACGTCGAGTTGATACCTCTGGTTCTTTTCAGTTCTCTTCGTTGAGAAATTATTTGCACATGGTGTTTCCGCAAACCTTTCATCATTTAGTATCTCCACCATGCAAAGCCTCAAATCTGACAATGATCCATTTTACCTTGTGTTCTCTCATAGTGTCTTTGTGGCAGGTGACTGGCTACTGTAATGATATCAAACGTATAGAAATCAAAATTGGAATGATTTAATAGACACAAACAGAACAGGGAAATTCGAACATTTTTGAATTATCGAACATTCGTATAGCTATAATTATAAGGAAACAAGTGGTGCATTTGAGGGACTTGTGACAGTTTTCATTCAAGTTGACTCTACCAAGACATGTTTCATTATGAATGTATTATACTAGTCGCATGCTCAGTGCACCATAATTGTGATGCTTTTGTGGTGGTCTTCAGTTGCCTTAGTGTGATGATTGGCCAATGTATTGTACATATATAGGCTCCTAAGATGGAAACCCCAATTTTGTACTGGAAAAAGTCATGGAATTTCATTTTAAGATTTGTGTGGGAAACCTGCAAATGGCATATACAGTGCTTCATGGTCATCAACAATAATGCCACATAAATAGTTGCACATTTTTGATTGACAGTTTTCATACAGTACCGCGTAGAAGAAAAGTTTGCTGCGCTACAATTTCAGGTTCAGGTTCAACGAACTCTGAGAATCCATAAACGTGAACTTGGACTTTGGACACTATTTTAACATCATTAGATTGTGTGTCAAATTTTGAGTGTTATTGCCTTCGGGAAAAACAACCCGATGTGTAAACGGTCCTGTTTTAGCTCGAAGTTCAATTAGAGTAATATTACCAAAATGGCAATTTAGGGAGACACTGTCTAGTAAATTATTTAACAGTAGGGAGACATTGGTCATTTAGGGGGACGTTATATTATCTCTCTAAAAAGGGTACCATTTTTGATTTTCTGAATACATGAGGACATTTTGAAGGTTATCTGGTCGTGTAATAATGCATCCGTTTATGTTGTGGCCCACATCTTTTAACGCGATCTAGCGATGCTGAATCTTTGACAGCTCCACGTATTCTGCTATCTGCGCGTAGAGATTATGAGCTATATTTGGCCAACAAGCGGCCAAACTTTGCGAACTTTCTAACCCCTGATGTGCGCTTTTCTATAGTGTCCTATTGTTTGTGCTCCTGTGGACTCCGATGTGTTTAGATTTCATATCAGTGGTCGATATTTATAGAACGCTTTTTATCTTGAAGTGCAAACCCGTAGAACGACGGCCAAGTTCGTCATGGAATACTGAAGGAAGTTATGTGCAGTAGGTATGTATGGGCGAAGAAACTTTTGGGGAAATTTGCGCTGACGAAAGAGATTAGGTCCACGAACTTTCTCGGGCCGTGCATGCAGGTGCACCAAAGCGGCGGTCAGCGCGGGTCAAGTTCAAGAAACTTTTTGCCATTCTGTTTCATCAGCTGACGTTGTCACCAGAAGCACTTGATTAATACTGCTTTAAAGGCACAGTACGGCAAGGGAAGACTGTTAAATAACCGATTACAATTTGCTTGTGTTTTGCAATTTCTATTGCTCTTGGAATGTCATTCCAAAGGTAGGTCTACCTCGCTTTTGATTTCCTGCCACGCCACAGACCTTTTGCATGGCAGTCGTCTTTGGGGCACAGTGCTTTTGGTTCACACGGGGATTCACAAAGCATCAGACCCCTTTTGCATTCGCCTCAAAGATAGTTTATACGTCAACACTCTCAAAAGTCCCGGATCAGACTGGAACCAGAATCCGGTTCCGATTTGATCTGATACTCGTCTGGGTCAAATTGACACTTTTTCCGGGCAAAAATTTTCTGGTCATTTTGACACGCCATACCTTGGCAAATTGTGTCATATTTGACCCAGAAAAGTGTCCATTTGACCCTAAAAAGTATCAGGTCAAATATGACGGGATATGATTCCGTGTCAAAACTGACCCGGACTTTTCAGTGTAAAACGGTAAAAAAAAAAAATTCACGTCCTCCCGCGGGCCTCATTTAAAATACTTCTGTTCGTGCACTTTTGAATAATTTTTTTTAGGGCGTTCTCAACTTTACCTCTAAGGTTGATTCAACCCGCTAGCCACGGCATAGCGCACTTAAAATAGCACGGTATGTTTGCTCAGTGCTGTTGGTAACGATAAGACAGATAGACGCTTATTTTTAGGCCTGAAAACACGGAAAAAATATTGGTCAAATGCACTCCGACAGAACGAAAGCATCATTGTGTTAAAAACTTGAGGTGCAGATTGGAGTCTGAACCCGATAGCGTCGATTGCAGTGTGGTGCTCAAGTAACTTCGGAGAACAACAAAAATCTGAGCAACTAAAACGGTATCTTGAGAACAAAGAGCCAAAAACTCTCAAGGATATCTCAAGAAGAGTTCAAGGAGATTCGAGAGAGAAGAAAACCACATGAGCAGTACATTACTACTTGCGGCGTATCCTGACAGCATCACTGAGTGTCTTGAGATCGTGTTGAGATGGCTTTTTACTGGCAGCTGTACGAGGATGTCACTTGGAAGGTTTACGTGGGACTCGCTGCGGTCGTCTGTCTGGCTGTCTACTCGTTCAGGCGGTGGAACACGCCTGCGTTCTACCGGGGCACAGCGACACTGAACGGGAAAACCGTCATCGTAACAGGTAAGGGGAAACATGTCCACTCTTTAAATGATCGTGAGCTTGTAGGTCTGCCTGGAATCTCGGAGATTGTGGTCAAAAGGTACCATAATGAGTTTCTCTTTTTTCATTAACGAAATACATAGACACGATCATGCAATGATTTTTTTAACCAGTAACAGGATGAATGGTGTCTCTAGTTGATATAGGCAAATGTTCTTTTAAAACTTGAAAATTATTTATTTGTGATTCTTGTTCGTAATAATAAATATTCATGGTTCTGGGCCTGATTAACATTTCTTCGTTTTTTTTAGTCGGTATTGAAGTTTGTCGCTACCACTTAAAATCCTGCAAGGTTGTGGATAATTTTTTTCTAAATTCAGCAGATCTCGAAACCACAATGTTACCTTCTTTTTGAAAGAACAAGGGCCTCAAAATAATGTCATGCTCCTAGAGGCTTTTCAAATGAACGTGATGTAAGTTCGTATTTGTTGAAATAATGTAGGTTTAAAGGCGACCCAATCCCGGACATTTTTTTGTTGGACGTTGAATTTCACTTAATGCAAAAAGGGCCCAATTTCTGGACATTTTTTTGCTTGGTGTCATAGGTTCTAACACGGGCATCGGCTTCGAGTCGGCACTCAACTTCGCCCGTCGCGGCGCCCGGGTCATCCTGGCCTGCCGCAACCCGTCCAAGGGGGAGGAAGCGGCCGCTAAGATCAGAGAGCTGACGGGGAACGATCAGGCGGTCTTCCGTCTGCTCGACAACGCCAAGCAGGAGTCCGTGAGGCAGTTCGCTGAGGTGATACTCCGTGAGGAATCGCGGCTGGATATCCTCGTCCACAACGCCGGTGAGTATAGAGCAGCGTAACTCAGGGTCCATTATGCAAGGGGGAGTTAGGGGTGCCTCAGTTTCGGGGAAGGGGTGGGGGCCCAACTAATTTTGAACAGGCCTCGGGGTGGTAAAGGCGGGGGTGGGAGCGAGCTTGCCCCATCATTATTTGTCTTAGTTACACTATCGAGTGTCATGTGTTAGATACATTATATTTATTAAGTGGATATTTCGAGTTTGTCAGTCTCGGAAATTCAGTATACCTGTACTTGATCAACTTGGAAGTGTATCCTTTCGCTTGTGGATTCAGTAAAACAGGTAATGTAGATCAGTATTTTTTTTAGAGAGCGGAATGGCACCTTTTTTTTAAAACACGGATTTGTTTTTCTTTCTAAGTAGTCAAACTTCGACAAGCCATTTTAATTTACTGATAAGAGGTAGCTCCGTGAAATGTAAATCTTGTTTTGAAATTATTCGCCTCTTTTAGGAGTTTTTTTACCAGAGCTTTTTCATTTGCAGTATTCAGCGATGAAAGTATCGATGATGAGGTTTTCGAATTTCGTCTGTTTATCCTAGGAGTTTCCCGTTGCCATGGTGACGAGAAGACAGAGTCCGGTTACGACCTGCAGTTCGGCATCAACCACCTCAGCCCCTTCCTCCTGACCCACCTGCTGCTACCCCTGCTGGAGAAGAGCGCCCCCAGCCGGGTCCTGGTCGTCTCCTCCATCGCCCACAAGATGGTCAACACTCTCTGCTACCTGCAGTCCAAGCAGGCGTGGGAGGAGACCGTGGCCTACGCCACCTGCAAGTTGTCCAACATCCTCTTCGCTGCCGAGCTGGCCCGCCAGGTGGAAGGCCGGGGCGTGACGGCGTACTCGCTGCACCCTGGCATGGTCGACACCAGTATCTTGCATCCGCGCTCCAGCAGACTGCACGGGGAGTTGCTGCTTTTCTTCTCCCGAAACATTTTGAGGTAGGATTTGTTGTGGATTGTTTTTTAAGAGTCAGTCTCTTTGCAGTGCTTGGTGCATCATCAGACCTTTTGAATTTGTTTTTGGTTTATTTTGCAAACAAAATGTAGCTTATAATAAGGTGCATTGTCACCTTTTGTTTTTAATGAATCTTATTGTGTTTTGAGCTACGTATTTGTTTATTTGGATGTCTTGATTACCAACTGATCATTTTATGGTGAGTGGAGGCGAAGTTTCAAACAATATGTCAGTGTTTATGGTGTAAATCGAGGAAACACACGTGCAACATCAGCGATGAATGGAGGACAGGAACCAAATTGAGGACGATCTCGATTAGAAAACGTGTACAAAACCAATGAGACCTGTTACAAAAAAAGTTAGTTGGCGATCGTATACAAAAACTATGGTAGGTCTTCCTAAAAAGTTTTACAAAGAACAAAGAGGGACAACAGGGAGTCCCAGATTGCAGGCAAATACACACTTGCGTGTGTTTGTTTCCGCAATGATTAGAATCACAGTCAGTTCTCAAGAACTAGAGAAATCAGTCAATATTTCGAGTTTATTGATGATTTTTTTTTCAAAAGTTGTGTTCAGAAGTTTGTTTTCTTTTTTCTAACTTTTTATTTGATCTATTACTTTCCAGACCGTTCTGCATCTCACTAGAAGCCGGTGCCCAGACGACTCTTTACTGCGCGCTGGAGGAGTCTATCACATCCTACTCGGGCCGTTACTTCGCCAACTGCAAGCTGGCCAAGCCGAGCAAGCTGGCCCAGGACGAGAAGGTCGCCTCACAGCTCTGGGATATCAGCTGTAAAGCCACTGGCATCGAGAATTACTGAGAATTCACGTTATTAGTACTGAAAACAAAAACCAGCAGTAGCCTTAATAGGTCTAGGACCTCTGATGGGAACTTCCTGTATAATGTGATGCACATTGTGTTCAGTGGCCTGTCCAGGTTTTGGGGGTATACAGGAACAATAATTTGGATAGACCGGAAGGTCATCATGTGTTTCCTGACTAACCCTGAGTCATTGACTGACTGAGTCTCTGATTTAACATACTAAATCAAGACTTTTAAGGGTCCATTGGATATTTTCGTCCGTAAAAAATGTTGTTAAAAGCGGGACGAGGGTGTTTGACTGCGCTTTCTGTTCCTGGATACGTCACTGATAATGTTTAATAAAATAACGGACTATTGCACTAATGTTTTTCCAGTTAAAACAATCTTACTGTATAATGTTGTGATGGCCCTCTTTATATACAGCGCGTCCCAAATACCCGCAACTTGTTTTTGCGAGGCGCTAGTGTCGGCGCGGAAACACGTACCGCCATTATTTTTATATCATTTTAAAGCTTGGAATTTGAACTTTATCCCTGGTAAGTATTGGTTTGATATTTAAAAGAGTTTTAAAATTGTTCGTGTTCAAATAAAGGCATGTCGAAAACAAACTAAACAGTTTTCAAGGAAAATCGATGATGCGGTACATCAGATGCAAACTGGAGCGCGCTTTTTGAATAGGTACATACAACATGTATATACTTGCACGTGAATTTAAAAATTGAACTTGAAACAAAGAACTATATTGTGAATTCATTTAAGGTGTTGTCCGCGGCGTGAATCGAAAAGAATAGAAAACACAGAAAGTAAAAGGCGACGAGATCGTCACATCATGAACATGATGAAGCATTTCCACGTTAGAAAAAATGTGCATGATTGATTTTCCTTGAATTCGGTTGAGTTTGTTTTTGACATGCCTTTGTTAGAACACGAATCATTTCAAAACCCTTTGAAAATCCAACCGATAATTACCAGGGATAAAGTTAAGATACCAAGCTTTAAAATGAAGTAAAAATAATGGCGTATACGTGTTTCCGCGGCGACGCTAACTCGAGCCTCGCAAAAAAATGTTGCAGGTATTTTGGGACGCCCTGTGCAAAATAATGGCAAATTCCGTGTTTATAATAAGTTCTTATTTTGTACACCTGTATAACAAAACATCTTCATTTCATTCCTTAAAGCAACATCTGTTTTTAATCTGATTGTATGCTAATCAGTCTTAGAAAAGGGATTGCTTCCGTTTGAAAATTGAAAAGAACCCAAATTAGAAACATTTCTTGGCAATTGTTTTTGCAAATGGAAGTGCCTTGTCTGCCTTATTCTTAAACCCATGAAGTTTATGCAATTATTGAGAAACGTAAGTTCCTAAAAACAAACAGATCAGAAATTACACCAGTTGCTGAACATTCATCTACCATTTGTTTTGTCAAACGGTGGCACTATAGAATGATAGACACATTGTAAAAAGGCATGTTTCACATTTAGAGATTGTTTGAAGGATTTTATATATATTTTGACCTTCGACCTTTCGGATATGGACTTGCACTACTATCAACCTGACACGAACTTATTGAAAAGTTTGTGTAAATCACACATCATTCCAAAGTCGACAGTCACTTTATACAACCTATCAAGGGAGATGTGTTAATAATTGCCTTTGAAAGTTCAAAGAAGCGCATGGCGGGATACATGTATTGTGCAATTTCTGTCACGCGGATGTACTTTAACACGAGTTGCAGACAGTGGTCTTTCAACAAGGCCACCTTGACTTTGAAGTTTAACATTAATTTGATTTGAACCGTGCAAGGCGAATTAAGAGGAGACTACACTATGTAGTCTTGGCTCAAAATGGCTGCTATAATAGTAAGTCGAATGCGGGACCAAGTCACAATGTTCAAAGGGTGTGAGTTTTAAGAGTGTAACGTGGACCAGTGTAGCCATCCACAGTGATACAGCATCTGTGTTGTCTGAGGTCTCAAGTTTGTCTCAAGCTCGATTCTAAATCTTAGAGACTACTTGAGGAACTTGTGAAGACGGCCAGGTCGGTATCTGGTACCTAGTGAACTGCAAGGGAAATCTCACTTTTATCAGTACTCAATTTTCTTTGTTAGCCGAAAGTTATTTTGTATGTAAAAAGTGTAAATAACAAAAGTAGGTTTAGAAAGCCGAAGAGAACTGACGCAAATAAGTGTGTGTTGTATTCAAAGTTTAGATGCTTTGGACAAGTTCGCATACTCAATAACATAATACTTGTTAAATAGGACGATTAAATCTTGATTGTTGCTGTAAGAAATGTTATTTCACAGTTTTTGTATATACATACATTTCAAGTACAAGTGCAGGCACTTTTGTCGAAATATCTCTGTCATTAGAATGTTTTAATTAATGCTAATCCCTTCTTAATAAGACTGCAGAGTAGTTTTCCTGTTTTCACTTACGAAAAGAAATAAAAGCTGCCGTGAAGCGTTATTCATTAAACGTAATGTGTCCATTTTTCAAAATTTGTTTTACACAATAACAAGCCCACCATAATGTCCTGCTGCATATGATCAAAACAAGTGTCTATATTCAAACTCGATCAAACAATCAAATAAATAAAACAAATGTTCTAAAAAAACACATCTTGTACTCAAAAAAGTAATGTTACCAAAATGGATCTCCATAATGCATTGTATACCGGTAGGAGGTCACGTGCAAATAAATGAACGTTAGTCTGAAGTGTGGTTATTTCCAACGTGTATAACGTGTTTTCACGTTCATTGTAATTATTACGTTCACACCTAAAATAATCCTTTCCTCTCTAATTTGCTCATATTAATATGAAATATGATACTGCATATTGGCTGGAGAACATTAAAACTGTAACATTTAAACTTTGAAAAGCATCGTGTTTTCGTAACTCAAGCCGCGACGAATTTATTCTTTTTTTACCCCAGACACCACCAAAAAAAACCCCAAAACGCTGTAGTAAAGCACAGGACGGCACCAGACTATTCATAATTTGCACATACGTATCCAAAATGTTGAGCGTGCAACTAAAACGGGAGGAATTCCTCCTTTTTCCGAAAATTTCCGAAGCTTGCCGAAGTCGTTTCGTCGACAATCGGATAGCGCCCGAGTATTTCCGAGTATATAATATAGGTTTAATTAACTGCTAATTGCTTATTAATTTTATTTCAAATGAGTTGATAATTAATGTTCATTGCTTTCATTTAGAAAACTTGAAATTCAACGCCGATTATGTGCATCAAATATACTTGGATCGTATGGGGGAACTTTTTGCTGCGTCATGTACAATTTTAAATTTGACAACCGTTACCAAGATTTTCCAAAACTCGGTCTTCCTTCGGCTCCGCCTGCTATAACAGTGCTATTTAGGTGCCTAATTTTAAAGATTCCAGATCAACATTAGTCAATGTTATCTTACAGAAACATCAAACTGTATTATCATAACTGTATGATATTACGAAGCAAGTGATTTATTTAAAAATTCGATCAGAACATTAAAAGCTACAAGCGATGAAGCGAAATCGGAAACGAAGCCAAGCTTTGAAAAGGGCCATCAATGTCGTCATGTTTATTTTTAGCCACGGAGGCTGCCTGACCTAAGATTCATCAGGAATAGTCAGAATCTTTTGGTGTGGGAACCAGACTATAAACAAACAGGGGTGTCAAAAAAGACACCATGTTTTTAGATCTCGTAGTCCCTCGCCGAATTTCGCAGGATACGTTCACAAGGCCACGTGGGACGACAACTCCAAAGGGCAAATCACTAATCTTTGACAGATTATGAAAAACTGGATGTTTATTTATAGCCTAGTCTATACGGGCATTGTAGTCTATATCATGCAAAAATCTGAAGGCTAGAAAAATCTTTTCTGAAAGGGTGTCGGTCCAAGTTCTATTCTGACAGACATTGTAACCTATGATACTGACCTCAAAATTACCGTGGAGGTTTCGTAGCTCTTGCATCAATACATTCATTCATTCATTCATTGAAAGGAGTCGACTAAATTGAGTCCAATAACGGTTCACGTATGGGAAAGTTGAAATGGGTCGCGACGGTCCTGGTGGCATTGTATGCGGTGTACTACTGGTCGTTCTTCCATAAGCAATGCGTGTACACTGGAGACGTGAAACTACATGGCAAGACCGCCATCATTACAGGTAAAAGCTCACATGTTTTGAATACTGAGACTTTACAAACAATTTCGAATCTTGAAACTTGGGTCCAGAGAATTCACTTGTAATGCTGCCTATATGCCTAAACCAAGGATAACCGGATGTGGGCGGACACGGAGGGAGCATTCTAGCCCTCCTTCAATTCAGATAGGGCTATTGCCCCCGCCCCGTGTGCCCCCGCTCGAAATTTGGTCCAAAAACATTCGTCCCAATTTCAACATCACAGCGTAAGACCCCAAGTTAATAATTAATTTTAAACTGATCCTCCCACCCCCGCCCTAAAGGAAATAAAAAGGTATCAGGATACTGAACGTGATTGGACAATAGAATGTCACGTGACTTAAGGCGCCATTTTGTGACTTATCGTAATGTTATAGACGGTAACTTTCTACAATGATTATCACAATAATTTTGGTCATTCTTAAATTGCTTATTTACAAGTTAATAATACTTAACCAATTTTGTATAATGATAAACAGGAGGAAACTCTGGCATCGGCAAAGTAACGGCCCTGGACTTTGCCCGGCGAGGTGCCCGAGTCATCCTCGCCTGTCGCAATCTCCAGAAGGGTGAAGACGCCGCCAAGGAGATCAAGACGCGCACGGGCAACTCGGAGGTTGTGGCGCGTAAGCTGGAGCTATCCAGCTTGCGTTCTGTCAGGGACTTCGCTCAACAGATCACCGAAGAAGAGAAAAGGCTAGACATTCTGGTTAACAATGCAGGTACAGAGAGCGTTTAACGTCTTCCAATTGTAACTAATAAGCCAAAAAAAAGAAGACTTTTGCTGGTCCATCAGCGGCCGGCCTATAGTCCTGTAATTCGGACGATTCACAATGCAGTGCGCCACCAAGAGTTTGCCATGGAGAGTCAACTTTTAAAGATTACGGTCGACAAAATATGGCCCATTTGAATGAGTGTCAGTAGACACTTGAGCTAATTTGTTATAGATTGGGGCAGAGCGTTCTGCCGCCTTACCAAAAATCACCATTATTGCTACAAAGAAAAGAAAAGGGCAAACATATACTCGAATCATACGCTTACGAAACTACTGACCGGAAAAAACGAACAATTTCAAATGTCCCGCGCTGCGAATTTGTCGACCATCTCCCACAATGCACTGGGAAAAATGAACTCTCCGTGGCAAACTATTGGTGCCGCTCTGCATTGTGAATCGCCCGAATTGTCTGACTGAGGCTGCATCCGAATCAGTTGTCTAGAGCTAGGTCTAGGTCTGCGCCCATTGAAAATACGCGGGGACGCGCTGACAATAGACGTAGCCGTAGCTCTGGAAGCCCGTTTCGGACACGGCCTCACTCACTGACTCACTCATTCACTGTCACTTGTGGGTTCA